AGTGTACGATCAAAAATTAACATGAAAGAACTTTTAAATTAAATGGACTAATTTAGTTTTACATAAAAAAATCAATAAAAAGAAAATTAAACACGGAATTAATACGCACTATATAAATTGGACTTATCAAGAAAAAGAAGGACAGCCTCGGTTAAAAAATTAGGGAGAATTTTGGAAGGGAAGGGTTTTTAATTCAAAAACTGAAACTAAGCCGGCTTAGTTAAAACAATATTTAATCTATTCATTCGATGCGTTGCTTAGACAATTCTCGAGATTACGTTGAGTTCTTCGAACAATATGAATTCAATGTGATTCAAATCTTCTTTTACGAAGTGGCTTTTTGCTAAGGCAAAACTCAAGCGGAAACATAAGTGTCAGAAAGGAGTGATGTTTCTAGAGTGTTGATCTCGAAACTGTAGTGATATGATGAAGAGAATTGAACTTTTTCAGAATAAGTGCAACTGTATTAAGCTTGCAGCGAACGGGTTCTTGAGATATCTTCATTCATTCTTCCTCCCTTTTTAAGTAACGAATTCTCGCCATCTGTTCTCATTCCTTATCGTACTATTTTTGCCACAAGAATGCAAAGTAATAATCAGTGTACGCAAATTTATATCCAGAATGAAACGCATGGGACGCATCCACTAGATGCAAGAACACGCTAATTTTGACCGAGCATTTCTAACTTCCAAAGAGTCCAACTTTGGAAAGCTAGGAAAAACTAAGCAAAGTAACAATAAGTTTGAAAAATAGTGGCGCAGAGAGAGGCAAAACAACTTTAATGATCCTCGTGATTTACCACCTTACCAAGCTTAAGTGCAGTTGAAAAAGTCAGAAGCGCCTCATTTCAATAAAAATTTAGTTTCAAAAACCATAAAAATTTCTTATGTTCGCTGCAGATATGATCACGTTGTGGTGACTGATGGTGGAGGTGAGGAAAGGTGGAAAAGTGCCAAAGGAATACGATATTAAAGTACTCGAAAAGATTCGTTCCGGATTTAAATTAATGAGGAACTAATCGAAAGGCTGCCACTTTTACAACCCAATCCTCGAAGCAAGTTTACCTAGGGTAGTAAAGTCCAATGAGACGAAGATTCGGGGCAATATTGACTTTGTTCAGTTTAGCACGCGTCTTGGTATTAGAGCCCGAATCAGATTTCGCCGTGAATGAATGTATAAAAAGTAAGAAAATGTTATCCGATTGTCGCCGAATTTTTTATGCCCAGGTAGATGGGGGCGGCAGATTTTTTCTATTTCAGAAAAAGAATGAAAATTTTTATACGATATGCGTGTCGTACTTTATGAGTAATAACCAAAAAACACGAAAAGCAAAGCTGTTCAGAGCTTTGTTAACATAGACGTGTGCGCTTTGCCAGCGTGTTCTTTGAAAAGTTGATGATTTTGCAAAAGTGTAGGGGACATCTTCATTTTTCCGAACGGGAGAATGTTCGCACACACAGATACTAAACAATTGCGCAGAAGGATAGATGGCACAGCCTAACAGAGGGACATGATTAGGTGTATTGCTAATTTGAAACAAGAATTTATACACTTTATGGGGCTTTCGAAGCTTGGTTCTATGCGTTTGACCAACTCATTTTATTTTTTACGAAATTATGACACACTATAAAATTGAGTGGGCGTGGTTGATTTTTTACATTATTGTACAGCTATTACAGCACAGTTGATAGAAATTACGTTCAAATCTTTGTAGATTTATCTGTTGTAGTTTAAGAGAAATGAGGTAAAACCAACTTTTGATTCTTTTTGAGAAACAAAGATGCACCCAATTTTCGTATAACTGTAAGCATGTGCCTCGACCACTTTGGCCCATTTTCGATATCACCCCGCGTGCAAGAACTTCAATATTTTTACCAGATGCAAAGCTAGTTACACCACAGACAAACGAACGAACGGACGGACATTCTTAAACGGATCCAGAATTTGATGTTGGTCAAGAATATATATACTTTGTGAGGTCGTTGAAGCTTCCTTGTGGGCGTTACAAACGTTTTGACATAATATCTTGAATATATCTTATCATCCTTTGCTGATGCGTATAAAAATATTATTATTATTATTGTTATTATTAATTTCGCCAGAGAAATAAATTCTAAGACTAAACTCTTAAGGCACTAGCATCTGAGGCTATCGGGTTTTATTAAGAACCCTATCGCATTTGAAATTCGAACCCACGACGATTGAGTTGCTCGTCGAGATTCCTCGCCTTCGGCCATGCAGGTGGATTTAAGTATAAAAATGAATGTGACACGTTTGTTAGAATTCCGACTTGATACCTTGCGTATTTAAAAGACGTTCATTTGACTTGTTCTTACT